ACAACCAACCGGAATATATCAAGCCTTTCTCAAAAACTAAGAGCACATCAGAGATCAGGTAAGGGACAGTCTGGGTGTCAGTGACCAGAGTGACAGAACAAATGTTTGGTGTCTTGGTTTGTGACATACTGTATAGCCCAGGCCAACCTGGATCCTCTGGCCTCCATCTTCCAAGTGCTGGGATTACAGGTGTGTGCCACAACTCTTAGTTTTGACAAACTTTTTTTTTTTTTTGAGATTTATTATGAGAGCTGATAGCTGCTCTTCTACAGGATCTGAGCTCAGTTCCCAGCACTGTACCCACATGGCATTTCAAACAGGCTATAACTCCAGTCCTAGGGAATCTGATGCCCTCTCTGGATTTTGTGTGCACCAGGCATGAACATGATGCACAGACATGTATGCAGGCAAAACACCCACAATATAAAATAAATAAAACTTAAATAGAAACAAAATATTTTCTTTGTGATTAATAGCTGTTTTCTACTTAATAAGGGGGATTTGTGCACAGGAGTGCCAGTGCCTCCAGAGGATAGAAACTTCAGACAAATCCCCAGGAGCTAGAGTTTTTGCAGGTGTGAGCCACCCAACATGGGTATGGGGACCTCGGGTCCTCTACAAGAGCAGCACTATCAACAGATGAGCAGTCTCTCCAACCGGCAGTTTTGTTTTGTTTTGTTTTGTTTTAATGAATAAATTATGGGCTTCCTGGATGGCCCAGTGAGCAAGGTACTTGTCCCTGATGCATTTGCTTTATGTGTATGAGTGTGTTGTCTGCATGTATGTGTGTGTGCCATGTGAGAGGAGGCCGTGAGTTTGGATCCCCGGTATCACAGAACTGTCAAGTGTGGTGCCTCACACCTGCAACACCAATGTTAGGCTTCAGAGGCAGGCAGCAGCTCACTTGCCAGAGTCTCTCCAAAACTTTCAGCCCTGGGTTCATTGAAGATAGCGAGTGATAGAGAAAGACACCTGATGCCAACCTCAGGCCTACTCACATGTATGCATACATGTATACACAACACATAAGGAGAATCAAAAAATAAAATAAAGGTATAAATTCACTGGGGGGGCGGGGCTTGTTCGGGGAGATAAGGTTTTGCTATATAGTCTAGCCTGGCCTTGAACTCACTGTATAACCCAGCCTGGCCCTAAATTCAGGGCCATACTGACTCAGCCTCCCTAGTGCTGGGATTAAAGGTGTGTGCTACCACTGCCCGGAAATACATATTGACTTTTTAAGTACCAAATCATGATCCTCACTTCATAATAATAACACTGGAGACTCAGAACAGTGAAATTGGGGTGCTTTATAATATTGTACGACCTTAAAAAGCCAGGCATCAGCTGAAAACAGAAGGCATGCCCACTGAGTGTAAGGAGCAGGCTTTCAGCCATGCTGCAAGCCCCTCCTTCCTGTCATGGTTTTAGGTCTTACCATCCATCCCCTCTGCTATCTACACTCCTCTTTTTCTCACCAAATCTTTCCTGGGTTCATCTGCACATTTTACATGTTTGCTGGTTTGTTGCATTAAAGTAGATTTATTTGTTTTATGTGTACGTCTGTGCTGTCCGCATCTATGTGTGTGTATCATGTGTGTGCGCCAGGGGTCTGCAAAAGTCAGAAGAGACAGTCTGGTGTTCTGGAACTGAAGTTATGAATGGTTGTGAGCCACCATGTTGGTGCTCACAAGGAATCAAACCTGGTCCTCCGGAAGAGCAGCCATTCATTGTTCTTAACCACTGCACCATCTCTCCAGCTCATTTTTTAAAACTCTCTTAATAATGTGTATGTGTCTATGCATTCACCAAGGAGGTTAGAGATTCTGGATCCCCCTGAAACTAGCTAGATAGAGTGACAGGAGACATAGGCTGCCTAGTGTGGGTACTAGGGCCCAAAAGTCTGTTGCAAGAAGAGTGCACTTAACTGCCGAGTCTCCAGCCCCCATCCTGTTTAATCAGAGCTTATCGGTCACATGACCTTGCTGTAGGCAAGCTTGGCTGTTAGTAATTTCCTACTCCAAATTTAAAAATAACCAGACTAAACCAGGACATGGTGACACATGCCTTTAATCCCAGCACTCGGGAGGCAGAGGCAGGCGGATCTCTGTGAGTTTGAGACCAGCCTGATCTCCAGAGTGAATGCCAGGACAGCCTCCAAAGCTACACAGAGAAACCCTGTCTCAAAAGAAAACATAAATAAAAACAAAAAACAAAAACGTCCTCCAGATATTCAGCCCATCTCTCCAATACAGGACTGTCCCTGCCAGGTTTAGTTCAGCTGTCAGCTTCTGTCCCACTGTTCCTGGGTCCCTACCAGCTGCTTTGTCACGACTACCAGATCCTAGCAGCCCAGAGCCCATGAGTGAGTTTTCCTAGCAAGATGTGTTTGACAGCACCACCATCAATCACCATCACCACCACCACCATCACCACCATCACCACCATCATCACCATCATCACCATCATCACCATCACAACCATCACCACCATCAACACTACCATCATCACCGTCACCACCATCATCACCATCACCATCATCACCACCATCACCACCACCACCATCACCACCATCACCACCATCATCACCATCATCACCATCATCACCATCATCACCATCATCACCATCATCACCATCATCACCATCATCACCATCATCACCATCATCACCATCATCACCATCATCACCATCATCACCATCATCACCATCATCACCATCATCACCATCATCACCATCATCACCATCATCACCATCATCACCATCATCACCATCATCACCATCATCACCATCATCACCATCATCACCATCATCACCATCATCACCATCATCACCATCATCACCATCATCACCATCATCACCATCATCACCATCATCACCATCATCACCATCATCACCATCATCACCATCATCACCATCATCACCATCATCACCATCATCACCATCATCACCATCATCACCATCATCACCATCATCACCATCATCACCATCATCACCATCATCACCATCATCACCATCATCACCATCATCACCATCATCACCATCATCACCATCATCACCATCATCACCATCATCACCATCATCACCATCATCACCATCATCACCATCATCACCATCATCACCATCATCACCATCATCACCATCATCACCATCATCACCATCATCACCATCACCATCACCATCATCACCATCATCATCACCATCACCATCATCACCATCACCATCACCACCACCACCACCACCATCACCACCATAAGCTTGTTGCCAAATGCATTTTGTGGCTCACAGTATTCAAAAGTCTCACTCAACACTAATGGTGATGTTATTGATATTGTCGTATCAGAGTATTTAAAGTTACTTCCTCTCCCACACCCCCTCTTCTGTTGGGAAACCTGACTGAATTGCACCTTCCCTCCTAATCCTGCAACCAACTGAACAAATCAACGTCATAACTGTGTAGGGACTCCACTCTGATCTGGCCAAGCCAGGAAGAGGTCCAAAGCCAGCAGGAAAAACCACAGGGGAAGAAGAAAGCGCAATACGAGGCCCACCATGTCCTATTCCTGAAGTGCAGGAAAACCCTGGTGCAAAGAGCTTGTCATCATCCGGGTGGTGGTGGCTCACACCTTTAATCCCAGCACTCGGGAGGCAGAGGCAGGCGGATCTCTGTGAGTTCGTGGCCAGCCTGGTCTAGTCTACACAGTGAGTTCCAGGACAGCCAAGGCTGTTACACAGAGAAAAAAAAAAGACCTTGTCATCATCCAGGCTTCTTTCTTCCATCCCCCCACCCCAGGGCCATACTACCTGAGCTGGCATGAAAGTTCCTTTCCTGCAGAAAGCACATTATGGACAGAGGGGAGGCTAACCCAGGTGGGATTTTCACGACACTCCCCCATCCAGGTCTCCCCATACTCCTGAATCAAAGGTGAAGATCTCCCCAGTACAAAGCTATGCCCAGAGAGAGAGAGAGAGCTCTTCAGCCAGTCCTTCCCACCTTCCCATCACCAAGTCTCCTTGTATACTTGTTTCTTTCTTTCTTTGAGACAGGATCTCCCTGTGGAGCTCTGGCTGCCCTGCTACTATGTAGCCATAAACAGACAATTACCATCTGTCTGTTACAAATAAATAATTTGATTTTAAAGAACAGATAACATAGGACCAGCTACTAGAAAGGCTGAAGTAGAAGAATCATGAGTTCAAAGCCACCCTGGGCACTTTAGCAAGAGCCTGTCCCAAAAGTAAAAAAAAAAAATAAAAATAAAGGCTGGATTGGCCAGGTATGATAGCCCATGCCTTTAATCCCAGGACTCGGGAGACAGAGGCAGGAAGATCACTGTGAGCTATAGCCCAGTCTGGTCTACATAAGGAGTTCTAGGCCAGCCATGACTACACAGTGAGAATATCTCCAAAAAAAAAAAAAAAAAAAAAAAAAAAAAGTCTGGGGTGTGTAAGTTCAGTGGTACAGTGCTTGCCCGGTATGCAGGAAGCCCTAAATGCAACTGCCAGGAAAAAAAAATATGCTATGAATTTGAATAACAACAACAGAGGAGAGGACAACCACACACACAAAGCCCCTTGTTGTGCCTGCTAGGACAGAAACTCACTCTCTTCATAGACGTCAACCTCAGTGGCCAGTTCAACAGGCTGAGCCGAAGCAGTTACCAATCAGACAGTAAGGATATTTTCATTAGCCAGGTGGTGGTGGCGGCACGCCTTTCATCCCAGCACTCGGGAGGCAGAGGCAGGTGGATGTCTGAGTTCATGGCCAGCAAGGTCTGCAGAGTGAGTTCCAGAACAGCCAGAGCTACACGAAGAAAGCATGTCTTGAAAAAAAAAAAAAAAAGATATGTTATTTCTGGATGAAAAGGTGGTTTGACGGTTATGGTGGTTTGAAAGAAAAGGGAGTGACATGATTAGAAGGTGTGGCCTTGTTGGAGAAAGTGTGTCTTTGTAGGGGTGGGCTTTGAGGTCTCTCTTCTCAAGTTTCACTCAGTGTGACCGTGTGACTTCCTGCTGCCTCTGAATCAACATGTAGGACTCTCGGCTCCCCGTCATGAGGAGAAAGGAATGAACCTCTGAAACTGTAAGCAAGTACTCTAGTTAAATGTTTCCTTTATAAGAGCTGACGAGCTCATGGTGTTTTTCACAACAACAAAAACCCAAACCAAGACAGCAGTGGACATTGAGTACTGCTCTTGCAGAGGACATGAGTTTGTGTTTTTGGTTTGTTTGTTTGCTTTGGTTTTGGTTTTTTGAGGCAGGGTTTCTCTGTAGCTTTGGAGGCTGTCCTGCAACTAGCTCTTGTGGACCAGGCTGGCCTCAAACTTACAGAGATCCTCCTGCCTCTGCCTCCCAAGTGCTGGGACTAAAGGTGTGTGCCATCACCACCTGACTAGGACCTGAGTTTGATTCCCAGAATCTGCTACTGGCTGGGGACCCAAGATTGCCTGTAGCTCCAGTTCCAGGGGATTCAACACCCCTGCCCCCTGAGAGCACCTGCCCTTCTCCAGCACACCCACACAGGGACCCACACACACACACACACACACACGCACAGACACACACACACACACACACACAGACACAGACACACACACACACACACACATTTTTTTTTGGGTTTTTCAAGATAGGGTTTCTCTGTATTGTTTTAGAGCCTGTCCTGGAACTTGCTCTGGAGACCAGGCTGGCCTCGAACTCACAGACATTCATCTGCCTCTGCCTCTCGAGTGCTGGGATTAAAGGCATGCGCCTTTAATTGTTTTCTATGTTTAAGCAATGGGCTTATTAAATAATATTGTTTATTATTTATTATACATTTATATATTAAATATGTTTGTTACATATTATTTATTATAATATAATCTATTAAAAATAAGCATTAAGTTCCTTGCATTGTTTTATAGTATAGCAAAGACCATTCAACATAACTGTTTAAAAAACCATTTGTAGCAGGTGTGAAATTGCTCAGCAGAGAAGGGAGCTTGCCATCAAATCCAATGACCTGGCTTCAATCTCCAGAACGTATATAAAAGATGGAAGGAGGGAACTGACTCCTCCACATGTATGTTGCAAAAGAGCATCCTTCTCTCCCAGCATCCATACTAAATGTTAACATTTAAAAGCCTCTGTGAAGCCTGGAAACAGTGTTCAGGATGGTGAAGCGTTCGAGACAGGAGAGTTCAAACCAGCGGCCTCAGGCGGTTGGGCACTCACTTGCTCAGGCTAGCCCTTTTGCAAGCTGTCACACCAACACTTCCAAGTCAAGCAGGCCTCTCAGATCTCATGGGGCTGTTGGTCTCAAGGCCTTCAGTCCTACCAGGCCTAAACTCAAAACCCAAGAGTCTGTGCCTTTGGTCCAAGGCTCTTGTCACAGTGGGACGCTGGCAGGTGCTGGCTTCTGCACAGCCCTCAGTAGGCACATCCTTAGCATCCTGTTTAACTCCCTGCAAAAGTCCAGACCTGAAGCCGTGTCCTCTCCCTCTGTCTTCCATCCTCACCCTTCTCTCATGCCGCCAGCCCTTCCCCCACTAGCCTAAAGACACAGCAATGATGACTTTGTCACCCGTATTCCCTGTGGACTAGCAGGAACTTGAGCCAGGCCAGCACAGTGAGTCGCCACACCTACCACTACAGGTCACACAAAGGCTGCTTCTGCTCCCCTTTCTTCCTTAGACAGTGTCTCACTGCCTTAGTCACTGTTCTATTGCTGTGAAGAGACACCATGACCACGGCAGCTCTAATAAAGAAAGCATTTAATTGGGGCTGGCTTACAGTTAGTTTCAGAGAGTTAGTCCATTGTCATCATGGTAGGGAGCATGGTGGCACACAGGCAGACATGGTCCTAGAGAAGGAGCTGAAAATTCTACATCTGAATCCACAGGCAGCAGAAGGTGAGCCACAAGGCCTGGCTTGGGCTTCTGAAACCTCAGAGCCACTTCCAATGACACACTTCTTCCAACCAGGCCACATCTCTGTCTCTCTGTCTCTCATTTTTTTTTTTTTTTTTGAGTCAGGGTTTGAGTCAGGGTTTCTCTGTGCAGCCCTGGCTGTTCTGAAACTAGCTTTGTAGACCAGCTGGCCTCAAATTCACAGAGATCCTCCCAGCTAAAGCCAAATGCATTAATTCTTTTCAAATAGTCGCATTCTCTGATGACTAGGCATTGAAATCTGCGAATCTACAGGGGCCATTTTTATTTAAACCACCATACTCATGTAGCCCAGGCTGGCCTAAAACTGGCTTTGAACTCCTGATCCTCCTATGTCAGCATCCCAAGTGATGGGATTGCAACAAGACGTTATGTCTACCTTCATTTACTTATTTATTTGTATGTGTCTAGGTGACTGTGTGCCATGTGTGTACGAGTGTCCACAGAAGCCAGAAGGCATCCATTCCCCTGGAGCTGGAGTTACATGTTTGTGAGCCTTCTGTGTTGGTGCTGAGAAACAAACTCTAGTCCTTTGGAAGGGGAGGAAGCACTCTTAGCCTCTGTTCCAGCAACCTTCCCCGCCTGAGTGTAGCCCAGACTGCCGCTCTAATTTCCAGTCCTTTCAGTTGTCCTGCCTCACACTCCTCAGTGCTGCAGAATTATCTGGTGGTCTAGATAAGGAAATGGAGATAAAGCAAGAAAGGGCACAAAGCCAACAACCGGAGGCTGAGCCACTATCCCAGAGCCCAGTAGCCTGATGGGCAGATCTCCAGTGAGAAAGTCAAGACAGTGTGGCCCAAAATCTCCAGTGGGGACATGAATAAGAAAAATTGGTGGGAAGAAACAGCAACATAAAAAAAGCTGGGGCTTGCCGCACATTGGTGGCGCATGCCTTTAATACCAGCACTCCGGAGGCAGAGGCAGGTGGTCTCTGTGAGTTCGAGACCAGCCTGGTCTACAAGAGCTAGTTCCAGGACAGCCTCCAAAGCCACAGAAAAACCCTGTCTTGAAAAACAAAAAACAAACAAACAAACAAACAAAAAAGAAAACTGGGGCTGTAGCTCAGTGGCTGAGCCCCTTCCTGTTCCTCTCAAGGCCCAAGGTTCATCAGTCCCCAGTTTTTAACTGGTGGCTCACACCTTTAATCCCAGCACTTGGAAGGTAGAAGCAGGCATGTATCTGTGAGTTTGAGGCCAATGCTGTCTACAGAGAGAGTTCCAGGATAATCAGGACTACACAGAGAAACCCTGTCTTGAGAAACATACAAACAAAAATCCAAAACAAGAAACAACAACAAAGGAAATGTAAGAGAGAAAGAAAGAAAAAGCTTGTGAGTTTCCCCATGGAATAATCAGTGGCAAAGGTCATCGATCTGTCCCTGTTCATTGACAAAGCTGACCTCCTGTCATAAAGCCAGGCTGCCACTTGCTATGGTTTTAGGGAGAGTGGCTGGCCTGCTTCAAATCTATTTGCTCAAGGAACGTTGCTTCACCTCAAAGCCAGTGGCCTCTCAGCTTGAAAATTAGAAATATGAACATTGCCAACCTAAGAGGAAATTGAAAGAGGAAGATGATGTTTGAACAGACTAAAAGAAGTGTCCATGGGCAGATTACAAGTTAAGGAGTTAATTTACCGAGTGTTGGTGTCCAGGCCGAGATGGGAAGGCAAGACCACCAGAAGAGACCAGTGCAAGCACAGAGACTGAAGAATCTCTGCAGGCCTTAAAGTGACAGCCTAAGCGTTAGGGACACACACCTTCCAGAGGCCATCTTATCAAAGAGCTGAGCTGGATCCAGAAGAAAAGCTAAGCTAGCTTATAATAAATCAGAGTTCAGGAAAGGGTAGCATGCGTCTCAAGGCTGGAGAAGTGGGAAACAGATTTCAACAAAAACAAAACCTAGTTATTGTGAGTCTTTGCCCACTGAGATTTTTATTGGGGTGGCTATGGAAACTGCCCAGGCTGATGGGAGTCTTGGGTGTGAAGATGGCCCTCCACCTTCTTAGAAGAAATGATCAAGTGTCGGTTCTGCTTTGCCATAGGTTAACAACTCTTCTCTGTGGCTCCAAACTCAGGATGTATTTCTGAGATAGGACAGAGCTGACACACTTATTCTTGAAGTTTATCATTTAGCGGCTGTTGCTTCTCACAGAACTGACTGGGACCAAGGCCATGGCTAAGACTCTGAATGCCCTGGGACCCTTTATTTTGCTTCACATCAGCTCTGTCTCCAGTTCCTTCTGACAGCCACGTGTCTGCTTAGGTTTTTGTTGCTGTTGCTATTGTTTTTTTCTATGTATGTGTGTACTTATAGAGGTCACAGGTCAGGCTTGGGTATTGTTCCTCAGGCGCTGAGACAGTGGCTCTTACTGAACCCAGAGTTCACTGCTTTGGCTAGACTGGCTAACCAGCAAGCTCCAGAGATTTGCGTATCTCCATCTCCCCAGTGCTGAGATTACAAATCTACAGTACCACACCTGGCTTTTGCTTTTATTTTATTTTTTATTTATTTTGTTTGTTTGTTTGTTTGTTTGTTGAGACAAGGTCTTACTATGTAGCTAGCTCTCTGGTTGTCCTGGAACTCACTTTGTGGACCAGGCCAGGCACCAACTCAGAAATCCACCTGCCCCTGGCTCCCGAGTGCTGGGATTAAGTGTGTGTACCAATAGGCCTGGCTCATACCCAGCTTTTTACATGATGTGGCAAGCATTTTACCAGCTGAATACCCCCCTACCCTTAGTATTTAGTTTTAAATAATTTTCTAATCTGCAAGTCAGAACATGGGTGATTGCTTTTCCAACTCATAAAAGAAAACACGGAAGCTCAGAGAGTTTGAGTGGCTTGCTCCAGGTCACATAGCTTGTCTGTGGTAGAACTCAGTGACATGTCATTCCAAAGTCTTGGCACTCCAGGTCTGGAACAGTAAAACCCAGAGGTGTTTCACTGCCATCCTTTCACTGGACTCCATGGGAGTGGGTGGCGGTCAAGCTAGATACAGACAAAAATAGCCCCAGGACAAAGGAGAAGTCCAACCTATGGGTAGTGACTCCACGGAAGTCTGGGCAGGGTGATAGATGGTTAATAGAAACTAGGCTTGAGGTGAATTTAGTTCTATCAGGCAGACTCCTGTGGCTTCCTTGACAACTAGAGACACTA